TGAGGTGAAGTAAACAAATATGAACCTCGCGTGACTTGCATGACAGATCTCCTTGGCTTCTATGAGTTAAAGAACAGAACTTTTCCCCCAAAACTATCGGGTAGTGGTCTCTGTGTGTTGCACACTCCTGGATGTCCTTTATTTCGATCACATGTTTGACTTTTATGGCAATAATCTATCGAACTAAAAAGGCAACATAGCGGGAAGTGAAGCAACAACATGGCGCATCATGAACGCCTATAAAATGCAAAAGCGTTCGTCAAAGAGACTTTTTCCCACACCTTTCTCCGGCACTGCTATCCATTTAGACTTGTTAAATAAATGTTATTCTTCAACTTTGCCTTGAAAAGTTTCTTCCAAATCAAGTTTCAACAAAAATATTTGAAAAAAACAAGGAAAAATGCCGAATTCTTAGCTATTTCTGTTAATAATTCCGGCAATGCTGCGAATACAGCAGGGTTTTCAAGGGGGGATTGTAGGCCATGCATGTGCGATGCTGTGGGACCCCTAGACAGTACAATTTGTCCTTCTCGGCATGATTCTCATCGCTCAAAAGGCGAAAATACATGGCGACAACCACACCAACATTTTACCGTTTTCACCGTATAGGTTATTTGTGCACACAAACTAATAGACGGTTCGATGTAGTACAGATTGAGCAAGTATCATTTTAAAATGTTGAAAAATAAACGCAAACAGGAGCGCCAAAGACGCAGTATTTGAACCGCGCCATAATTTACAGCTGGGAAACCGGAAACCAATATACGCTGGCAATTTGACTCCGGGAGCAAACTGCATAGCAACCGGCCATCGTGGAAATTTTCCTGCCCGAAAAGCTTCATCAATGACTTTTGGCCTTGTATGAGCCTTGTATGCTGCTTCACAAAGGTAACCTTTCGTGTGCAGATCACCAGGTACTTCTGCTACCCATTTGAATGCCTCTTGTGAACGGTGTTTTGCTGACCTAAGGATCTTACAAGTTCCTTGATCTCCTACAAGCGCAGTTGTACATTGTACATTCACACTGCGGTCAAATACAACCCCAACCGTGTCATCACCATCTCCATCATTACTCAATGTTTCCATTGAAACATCAGAGCAGTAATTGCTTCCATCATTGATTATCTTGTCAATATCATAATCTTCTTATTTGTGGTGTTACTCTGAGTGTATATCCACACCGGGCGAGCTTGAAAAATATGCCCGGCCACGGTGGGATTCGAACCTACGACCTTTGGAATACTAGCCCAATGCTCTTCCTACTGAGCTACGCGGTCAGGAATCATATTACTAGAACACATTGGTATTGAAGGAACTAGATTCTGTTCCGAAATATCACTTACTCGAACCGTCCTGACCGCGTAGCTCAGTAGGAAGAGCATTGGGCTAGTATTCCAAAGGTCGTAGGTTCGAATCCCACCGTGGCCGGGCATATTTTTCAAGCTCGCCCGGTGTGGATATGCACTCAGAGTAACATCACAAACATATACTTGTAGGTTGTTGATGCATCAGATGAGGTTATTGAAATTCCATTTTCTTCGGCTAGGCAGGAGGGAGATCGGGTTTGTGTATCGAATTTCTGGGGCTTGGCAATAGGTTAAAAATGGGTTCTGTAGGGATTGTTTCAGAGTGTTTTCAGGCGAATGTAATTTAATATGACGAAGTCGCAGGCGTCTCCTTTCAAAAAGAAACCTTTGTTTTGTAGAAGCGGACATAGTGTTTGATGTTTGTGCGCGGGAAATCGTTTGGGGTGAAAGAAGTCGCACCGCTTTCCCTTGAGACACCGTCCGTCCATTGCGCTTTAGAAAAGGGCAGAAAGTGGAGCTTTTCGGAGGCAGGTTATGTTGATGGTTTTTAGTTTTTTTCAAGCGGCGTAGCCAGGGCTGGGGCCGGAGGGCCCGGCCCCCCCTGGCAAAATTTTGGGCCCCCCTGGCAAAATTTTGCCCCCTCCTGATAAAATGTATTGTACTGGTAAAGGTACCTGCAAGGTAGGGATTGCTGCGGGCATCAAGAGCAAATAGAACTAACAATAGTACAAATTACATAAAGCATGCAGTTATTATTCGCAGCGAGCCGGCGACTTGTGAGCACCATAGTTAATATAATTAACTATGTAAGCACTGAGGTCGGAGCTTAAGGAATACGGAATCGATTCATGCCATGAGTGTCTGAGAAAAAGCAATGGCCAATGCATTTGTTGCCAAGACCATGCACGGGTTCAAGATCAATCACAGATTACAGATAGGCGTGTTAATGTTAATGAAGGTAATATTCACTAAATCATAAGCAAGAATATATAATATTTTCAAGATCAAGTGGAATTTGTTTAATTTAATACGCGCTGCTTTAGTACGCGTATAAATACAAACGACAAAGCATTCTTATTAAGACGTACAGTTAAATTATATAACACAAGTTTTTGCTATTTGATTTCATATTATTAAGTATAATACTGCTAGGCGCATTTGCTACATTGTATACACAGTGGTTGTTTACCGTTTACATGGAAATTCCGGTGATTCCATACGGAAAGTAAATGGAACAAGCATATTTCGACGGTCCAACCGAAACTTTTCCGGAATGAACGGTTTGTTTGAAAAGGTTGTCCTCTCTTACCGATTGGAACGTTTCAACCGGTAAATTTTGCCATTTACATCTTTAATATTTTTTCACCAGTTCCAGGCTCTTCGCGTTTTAATTCAAACCGGATGGGTTTTCCATGTAAATGGTAAACAACCAGTATTTAACTAAGAAACCAAAATTTTATAATAAATTAAACTATAAAACTTACAGTGGTCAAAAGTCCATTGAGTGAACAACTCACGAAGTGCAGTCACGTTATTTTATACATTATAAATTATGATGGCCTTTACAGGGCTTAAAACGTTACTAAACCTTACGCCGAGTGCCTGAGTCAAAAGTCCAAGCAAGCAAAACAATTAACAATTATTCGCCGAAGGCGAGGTAATTATTGGGGAATATTCCCCGAGACGAAGTCGAGGTGAATATTCCCCGATAATCACCGAGCCTGCATGATGCGAATAATTGTTTTAGTAGTTTAGCACAAGTTTTTTTGTGTTTTTCTTGTCTGAATTCATTTTAATTTCGCTTATTTCTTTATCACTAACCTCAACTAAACGGCTAGCCGCCATTTTGAAAATTTCGATTTTGTTATATTCACCTGTAAGTGAATATAACAGATTTAATACGTCAAATATCACCTTGTAGGGTTTGTTATGTCCACTTAAACAATATCCTTCAAATTTGCCCGACTTTTCCGGATTTTGCCCGACAAGTACCGAAAAAATTTTTTCCGGAATTTATTTTGGCGACCCTCCCCCCCCCGTCGCCAAAAACATTTCGGTCAGTGTACCATTTTAGGGGTCAAAAAATTTTTCCGGACATACCAAAATTTTTCGGAACCTAACGAACATTTTCGAAACATCTCAAAATTGACCACAAAATTTACAGAATTTGTCCCATTTATTTTTATAATAAACCAAAATTGGGGGCGACACGTACGTTAATAATCTTCAAGTCAAAGTCATTAATACTCGAGTTGGTTGGTTGTTGACTATTATCTAATGGGATTTTGTTTATTTTTCGCATTGTGGGGGTGTCAATGAGATTAATGCTGGAATTGTTGTTATTTAAAGTAGGAGACTGTACACTTTTTTCGAGGTCGGTTTGGACGGCAGGTTTATCTTTAAGAGATACTTTCTTTTCTAAATCATCAATGTGTGACAGTTTAAATGTAAATTTTCATTAATTAGTTTGTATAATTTCTGTTCGCTATTGTAAATAATGACGTTCTGCTTGGAAAGTTTCATTCTTAAGGCTGCAAATTCGATCTCTGTTAGCTTCTGTTTTCCCTTTAAACGACGAAAACTCTTTTGCAATAATACCCGGGCATATCTCGGCGCGTGTCTGGACCGGGGTAGAGCTCTCAATAGTTTGTACGATTAATATATTATCAATGACACCCCGAGACGGTCAATAATTAAAATCTTGGTCAATAAAATCTTCTAAGTCTCGAAGGGTTGAACAATCTGGTTGAACACTCATGGGTGTGATATTAACAATAGTTTCAACTATTTCTTTAGTAGTGCCTAGATCTGCTTCTGCTTCAATGCTGGTCTTCAGCGAGGCATCGTTCATTATTAGTTGGCAGGTTTTAATCATTGCATTTAATCATAGAATAGTGCTTGATTCACCATGTAAAGTTAATGTGTTTTGTTTACCAGGATACCAAGTTAGTGTTGTCTCAGATGTTAGATGTAATTAAACTCTGTTTACATTTTGAAACAATTGCTGAGCATGCGTACAACTCACGTCGCAATTGCAACGTGAATCAATTCGATTTCTCCAGAGCTATACCCAATTAACCCTAACCTGCAAACGGGCATGCTCTGGGAAAGATATTGGCATGCATTATTTTGCAGACGTAAGTTGTTCTATTGGACCAATCGAGCTCCTTTTCGTTGTTTCTAACGAGAATTATGAGGATTTATGCGAAAATCTTACTGTTAGAAAAAAATTTTAAGTCCACAGTCCAGTCCAAAGTCCAGTCCAAATCTATAGTCCAGTTTAGTGTTTACAATATGCCAAATCACTTCGGCCTGTTTCAAGCGTCGCGATTAAACAATAGATAATCAGCTGAACTGCCTCATTATCTGTATTGTTTCTAATCCATTCGGCACATGAGAAGCGCGACGTTTAAAACATGTCTAATCATACCTTATGTACACTCAATTATTCATGTACGTGGTTCCTGCACTGATGCAATTTACACAAAGCTTTTAATTAGTGAGCAAGCGCCCGATACAAAATTTGGTAATTCAAATTGCATTATAATGATATGTATCATTTAAATTATTTAAATTAAACTTTCATGTGCGCACATGCCCGTTTAATTGGAATATGCAGCGTTTAAATGCTGCAATTAAATAAGAGACGTTAGATGTAATTAAACTCTTTTTCTGATTATAAGCCTACCTTTACTTTGTATTTTATTTACAGCGTTTAGTCGCTAAGATTAGTTACTAATCGTCCCTCATCTTTATGCATACTAAGATATATATAGTCGGAGTGAGATACTGAAAACTACAAAGTCAGATGTTTTCCATATCTTTACTAGTGAAGATATCGATCACGGGACTCTTTCCAATTTGCTTTTGAGCATGAAATTTCACAATTTTTGCTTGGGACTATATAATAAACGGAACATTACACGGTGGCTTGAAGATTTTACAACATTTTATTCGAGTGAGTAAAATTCATTTCACTGTCTGTAAATTTGCTCCTTGCAAAAGTCGACCTTCGATATTAATTTGTGACCGGCTTTTTTCATAGTCAACACACGCACGCATTTACTAGTAAATTATCTTCATCCCTTTATTTGTCAGAAACCGTTTTATTGTCTCGGTATAGCTATGATATTGCAAAGTGATAGAATGGCATTTAGTGCTGAAATTTCCCTCAAGCCTCGAGCGGTTTCAGTTAGTAAAAGGCCCTCGGCACTAAACCTCTCTCGACCTTCGGGCACATTTAATCACTAGCTAATCGACCTGAATGCCATGCTATTACTTATAATAATTACAGTATTAGTGGGCAGTCAACAATTCGCTTGTACGTTCCAGAGAGATAAGGGACCGGTCATTATTTATGGTGGGGGGTGGCACCGAAGAGAAAAGGGTTGGGTAAACTAAATTTTGAGTAAGTAAAAGGTTGGGTAAATGAAAAACAAAACAACTCAAGGGTTGGGTAATAAAAAATTATTGTCATTTCCAAAGCATGACTCACTGAAGTATTGGGGACTAAAAAGCAATGGCAACAGTAGGCCCTACTCTGGGGCGATAACAAGATAATGCGAGTTTAAGCAATTTTAGGTGATTTAAGCAAAATCTGCAATTTAAGCAATGCGAGTTTGAGCGATATAGGGCAATCTAAGAAAACAATTAAAATTTTAGGGAATGCTGTTTTAGGTGTTTAGAGGTAATTTCAGGAATATACAACTATATCCCTGATGACTCCAATGAAATTACCATTAACCTATGCCAAGCATCCAAACATGAGTGTTCCCACAAACACACACACATGCAGTGTATGAAGCAAAATATACAATTTAACAAAAAAGTTGAAGTCTGCTTGAGGGGGTTCTGGAAACAAACAATACACTGTATGCGCATGACGATCAAGTGTTTAAAGGGTAAATAAGCTCAATATTCATGACTTTTTTCATCCATTGTCTATTTCGAAGCCATTGGGGTATTATTAAATTCATGACACAACTATAATGGGCTATTCCAATTATTATCTGCACCCCCCCTGTTGAGGAACACCTTTCTCATGTCGGTACTCCCCTGGAATTTCCGCAAATTTTCATGTAAAACTTACCCCTTCCCATGGAATTTCCTTGTAAAAATTACCCTTCCCCATGGAATTTCCATTTTCAATTAGGCCTTCCCCATGGAATTTCCATTTAAAATTTGGCCGTGTCGATGGAATTTCCATGTGTAAATTACCCCTCCCTATGGAATTTCCATCATGGGACATTTACTCCCGGAAATTTCCCTCTAACATATGTCCTCCCAGGGAATTTCCATCCCATCAAATTTACCCCTCCCTTTGGAAATTCCATGTGAGAATTACTCCTCCCCTTGGAAATCCAGAGCCTGAATGCCCCCTTCTCTGGAAATTCCAGGGTTAATGTATTCCCTCCCCTGGAAATTTAAAGTAATGCAACTCTCCCCTGGAAATTCCAAGATTAATACACCCACTCCCCTGGAAATTCCAAGATTAATACACCCCTCCCCTGGAAATTCCAAGGTTCCTCAACAGGGGGGGTGCAGATAATAATTGGAATAGCCCAATACATGATCACATCAGCCCCTTCGCCATCTCTCCCCACTACAATACTTCATGTAAACACGTCATATGGGCATCACTGTTTTTTTACAAAGAGACGCCTGGGTACGAGGCAGTGCAATTGCAAACAATTTCCAAAGGAGTAGGGTACAGAATTGCAATATAACAACAGATAAGTAAATTATACATGTCATGAACTTACCAGTTTGTGTTGAGTTAAATTTAAAAATTTTTATGACATCAAATATTATTTATTTCTTTGCAAATCAAAACATTTTAAAATTCTCGTGTTTTGTTTTGTATTGCGCCCGCGATATATTAATGGTATTAACCGCTATGAATATGATATACATTTTTAATACATTACATTTGCGCTCAAAAGTTCAGGAAGCGAGTTTCTAGAAAGGATGAAAACTCCGTTTTATATATGGCATGTAAAAGGTAATCATTGTTTACTGTTTACTGTTTATTTTGTATTCAGGTATGGGGAATTTGAGCGATGAGAGTTGCAAAACTTGCAAATGTAGTCTGACTAGTTTCTTTGACGTCATCATGCAACTATTTAATATTGTGCTACATTCATTATTCAATTTATTCGCAGCAATTAGCCTTCTATAAGCCATACAAATGATTATAGCTTATAGCCCACCTTGCCTTTAACATTGATCCTATATATAATGAATTAACATAACTAACTTGATTATGTTGCTAGTCGAGTATGTGACCTATGGGTCTTCTAGATCCTAGAGTAGCACAATTAATATAAAGTCTCCGTATTAAGGCGGTAATATTAAAGACTGTTCTTATTTATGCATGACCTTTGACTATTAAGTGGCCAAAAACTGTGTCTACAGTAGTCAACTTATTCCACTATCCAGGTTGCATCACTTTTGATTCAAAACACCCGGGTTTATTATACATGGATTTGCTAGCAAAATAGCAGCAATTGATGAACTTGGTGTTATACTAAGATTTACTAAATGTGTAAAGAAACAACGAAAACTATCTTGATCAATTTCCGATGGGATCTCCAAAGAAAGTAGCTACATGTGCAGACAACATGAAACTTCAGACTGCAGAAAATTTCACAATCCGTTATCAAACTTATGTCACAGAAGTGGTAAAGGACATATGTGACAACTGAATGGTACCTTGGGGTGAGTATTTATTTTTTAATTGATATTTGAGGTTAGGTAATAATTTTTTTTTACTTTTTAATGGTTGGGTCAGCAAAATTTTTGCTACGAAAAACATTTCTCTTCGGTGCCACCCCCCGCCATAAATAATGACCGGTCCCTAAGGTGAACTAATGACATTTACACAATAGAAAACGCTACGGTATCTTACGCTTGAAATAGAAAGCCAGTTTTCCACTTCAACAGTATAGAAACCTATAGTTGTGTTCGCCTTTTGGGTCGGAGAGAAATACGCTACGTTTCAGAACGACAAGATTGTTGAAGTGAAAAGCAAGCTAAGAACAGAAATTACTAATTCCACTCCTACAGGTCGACTGCATGCGGGCAAACAATACAATCTCGATACAAACCTGGTTTTTCCTGTAATCTTGTTGAGCATATTTCAACACGCGATAACACAGACGTAGAATATGACGTAATTGAGCGTTACTTGGATTACTTAAATCTTCAGGTTTAAGATTAGCCTCCTCATCTTTCTTGTGGAATGGCGTTTTCAGCACATGGAAAATCTGTCAAGGAAAAATATATAAGTAGAAAGAAAATATCTACAAGATTTTATCGAAACTACACGACAAATTAATACTGGAAAAAATTTTGAAAATCCATAGAAGATCATAGAATGGAAATTGTATGGACATTCATTGGAAATAGAATGGATTTTGATTTTCCATAATAATTGTATATTTCCATAGTATGGATATAGTATGGAAATAGTATGGATATACTATGGATTTAGTGGTGCAATTGCAAATTTCGTAGTATGGATTTCACTTTTTTTTCCCAGTGTAATCAAGGATGTTATAAAGCCTTTTTATAGAGTATGATAATCCTTGTCTGTACAGTGTTTAGTTGTGAGGATTGAGGGTCTCGTAGTGTTTTGCGAAAAAACTGTACTCTGTATAGGAATATATTTGTAATTCACAGTACGCAGGCAAGACATTTCCGAATTCTTCCAGTATATTTACCTAGAAAGGAACAGTTCGTAGTTCAAAGCAATATTTTCCAGAGACGAGAGTTTAAAAATTATTATTTGTGACCCAAGAAGTTTGAAAAAACTAAACAACATTTTTATAGTTCTTCCAACAACCTAAATAAATGAATTTTTTCTGTGTTGGTGTTGTGTACTCAGGTGAATAATATGTTTGCGATGTTACTCTGAGTGCATATCCACACCGGGCGAGCTTGAAAAATATGCCCGGCCACGGTGGGATTCGAACCTACGACCTTTGGAATACCAGCCCAATGCTCTTCCAACTGAGCTACGCGGTCAGGACGGTTCGAGTAAGTGATATTTCGGAACAGTATCTAGTTCCTTCAATACCAATGTGTTCTAGTAATATGAATTTTTTTCTGTGTTGGTGTTGTGTACTCAGGTGAATAATATGTTTGCGATGTTACTCTGAGTGCATATCCACACCGGGCGAGCTTGAAAAATATGCCCGGCCACGGAGGGATTCGAACCTACGACCTTTGGAATACCAGCCCAGTATCCCTAGTATTCCAAAGGTCGTAGGTTCGAATCGCTCCGTGGCCGGGCATATTTTTCAAGCTCGCCCGGTGTGGATATGCACTCAGAGTAACATCGCAAACAAACCTAAATAAATGTATAATTTGCGTGATTCGAGAAACTTAACTTGTACTGTTCAACTTCATGAAACGTTATATTTACAATAAATTAAACTTGAATACACACTTGAAAGATCATGAACTATTTTCGAAAATGTGTCATAGAAAGTTACAATTCAAAACTCTAATTTCCTTGTCATATCGGACTGAAAAGTTACTTTTATTAAAAATTTTCATTTGATTTGCACTTTAAAGGACCTGTACCTCTTGTAATATGTTTTGTTCTCTCATCAGTTTCTGGCGATCTCTGTCAGGATTCTGACATGATATCGATAATGGATCTGCATCTGAGTCTTGCGTGTCAGTGATGAAATGTGCGAGGTCAGTCAATAACTTGGTTACAAACCTGACATAAAACAAACAATAAAACGTTTGCAAGTTTACATGTTGCTATCTAACAATTCAGGTCATGCAACAGATATTTGACATTGAAATTCTACAACACTTAACAAAACAGCATAGTGTAAATATTAGGATACACTACTGCATGTATAACGTATCAGCTTAGAGTTGAGCTGACTTACGAAGGACGCAGCCAGGGCCGTACGCAGGATTTTTTCACCAGGGGGGCAGTAAGGCCTATATGCCGAGAAAAGTCCCAAATATCCAAAGAATAATTAATAATGACATTCTAAAAATCGTAAATATAGTTTTCTCTGGGGGAGGGGGCAGTTGCCCCCCCCCGCTGTGTACGGTCCTGGACGCAGTTCAACTTGATCGAGTCGAAGGCTTACTAAGAACGCTCCTATAAAGGCAGGGTTAGTTTGAAATTGATCGCACATTGTTAACATGCCGTTGGATGGGAAACCGGAGTACCCGTTCAAACCCAAAATGTTCGGTAGAGCGTTGATTGACTCTTTAACTAATGACGCTTGCTTTGACGACAGCACTATATGCACCGAAGGCCTACATAAAATAGGTTTACAAAATTTTATATATTCTCATATGGAATAAATTGTGTCCAAGTTCCTTTTCAAGTAAAGAGATGAGAGAGGTCTGTTATGTTATCTTATATCCTGCAATAATTTTCTCCGTATAATCTAAGAACATACGTACAAGCTCTGTATGCGTTTTAAAGCTGCATGACTTTATTGTTCTGTGTCCCAGGAAACCATCACAACACCTGGTGGAGGCGAAACAATGTGCACAGTTCTGTTTTGCCTTTGACATACAGGCAAACTGCCAAAGGTTTACATAAAGCAGTAGGCTCTTATAAGAAGGTTTTAGTGATTTGTATATCTCGGATCCCTAATAACAAAATAAGACAACACAGCAAGCAAGTATTACCTCCTGTCATTTTGCGTTACAGTTCCACTTTCCATGTGAAGTGCAAATTCACCCAAAACTTTACTAGCATCATTTGCAAAGTCCAAATCCCGAACTTCAGACGGGGAGACATGAACAATAGCAAAGGCTTCTTTATCTTCCCGAATACTTGCCGTACCAATCTAACAAAACAGAAATGTAGGTTGCTGTATGGTAAGGAGTAGATAAAAAATATGTTTATCTACTTTTACTCGTACAATGCATATCCTTCAATAATCATAACTCATAAGCTACAGTACCATGATAAAAAAAACATAGTAAAAAACAATATCAAGGGCAGACTAAGGAAACGGTTTCCGACATTTTCGTGAATGGAACATAAATAATCCACCGTTACTATACACTCTAAAAACTCTCTGGTTAAAATTTCATGTCTAACCTAACTATTTGCAATTCCTTAAATTTGATGTTATCTCACTTCCTATACCTACCATAGTCTGGTTTATGTAACCAGGAATCTTGTTATCTTTGACTAGGATGTCCTTTTTAAAACAATCTGACTATGTTAGATGGATAAATAACCATGCGAGCCACTCGTTATTTGTCCACCTAACATAGTGTTGTTAATTTAACTAGGAAGTCCTGGTTAAATTAACTAAACGATGGTAAGAAAAATGTAAAAATAACATGCAGGAACTTTAACCAGGAATATTAAGTTAACCCGCATAGGGTTATGTTAGATCTAGATTAACCAGGAAAACTTTAACCAGAGTGGTTTCAATCTGAGCAAATCGTATTCTGAGCAAGCCCGTTCGCAGGTTAGAGCCACCCCTAACCTGCGAACAGGCATGCTCTGGGTACGAGTTTGGAGTGGTTTTAGAGTATAAATTTGCGTACGTGAGTATAAGTGTAAGCTAAGTTTCCCTCTCTCCCAAATGTCTTGCATCGGACTATAACGAGAGGGGATTAGGATAATTGGGGATAATAGTTGAACTAGTGCGATTCTTCTAAAACTGTTCATTTCTATTTGGTAAATCATTTGTTAAAACTTTCTACCTTAAGCATGACAGGTTTATCTTCTTCTTTATCAATTGGAATTGTGGTTGAATGAACCCAAGTATTTGTACACAAGTGACGGAGTCGGACGTACGAGGACCTGAAAACATCGAGTGGCATTTTCGGAACGTTATTTTATACGAACAAGAAAGCTTAGATTTACAGCAGTAGCATAATGTCATTTATTCCAGAAGTGAAGAAACAGAGACTCACCTTGGCACAAAACTATCAGGTCGAGCCATAGTAGTTGGATCAAGTTCAAATATTGACGAAATATCGTTGCTATGTGGAACTTGAATTAAATGAAATACTGGAGAGTTATCGCGTAGTTTGTTTCTTGTGGGATCACTTGTATTATCATCGTCCACCTAGGATAAACATGCCACATAAGAATAAGAAACACAATTGAGATAGCTGCCATTAAACTAATTTTGAAGAAGTTCTCAGTTGGAAAACAACAACAAAATACATCTATTTGATTTGCCACAATTAAATATGTCACTTGCACTGTAAGTCTACAAAGAAAACAAATAACATGCACGATTAACATGTGCCCGGTAGACCACACCAGTTTGTGAAGCTATAAGAACTGCATCAGGTCATCACAGCCGTAAAGGAAGATGTGTTCCGTACAGCGAACTCTTATATATGAAGTCTACTGACAAGAAAATCCTCTTAGGTAGTTGACTAGGCTTTAAGCTTGACACTGTTTTCAAGTAGTATACACTAAATGCTCCAGTGTCTTATCAGGCAAAATGAGGCTATAACAAAGCCAAATGGAATAAAAAACATTTTCCGATATATACCTCTGCAGCGAGATAGTACCCGGTAGCTAAATGTTTAAATCTCAATAAACTGTTCCAATGAGCAGCTCCTCCAGCACAAGGATCATGTTGAACTACCTACAGAAACAAAATACCTCAAATAGAGTACTTAAAAAATGCAGGAGATATTTAGTGCTGGATAAGAGGTCATGCATTCAGGCTACACCATGCAGGAGCGGATCCAGGTATTTTTAAGGACCTTTAACGGGAGAGGGGGTAGATGGACCCTGCACAATCAGCATTATTATGCCACAAATTATTAACGATAAAACTACATAATATTTTGATACAATGCATGTTTAAGCAAATAAAATAAAGTCAAGCACGAGTAGTACTGTGTTCATTTATATGTATATTATGCAGTTATTCATTCTTACTGACCATGCAATAGGATCCTGGGAGGTGCCTCTGAAGAAGGACTCAGGGGTTGTTGAGCTCAGTTGCAAACTATATGTGCCATGTCGCGTTCACACATTTCTCCTACCTAGCTCCCACCCCTTGTGGACGTTGGCTTTTTTCTGGGGGGGGGGGGACTTTACCGCTGTTTTTGCTGTGTTTGTTAAGACTTCGCAACAAACCAGCGCTTGTGCGCGATACAATCTCATTTTATCCAAATTAATAGTAAAAAAGACCACAGTGGCTAGCTATAGTGTGGTAAAAATCTCTCTTCTCAAGCATCATGGGCTTACCTCAACTTCCCATAAAGCTTTAGAGCTCGTGGCTGATGTGGCTGTAGTTCTGCCGGTTGTTCTTAGAAATACAAATGATTTCTTTTTGTATTCGTCCATCGTCAAAAATTTTTCTTGCTCAGCATGGAAAAGTCGCACAACGTCACCCTAGAAACAAAGTTATCGCACAGGATAAAAATGATTCTATAAGATTAAGAAAAAAATCTGCGGAATTAAAAAAAAGTATTATATATCTTTAGTTTTCTCATTTAGTATATCAAGATATGATGGTCTGGATAAACAGAAGTCATTGGCGCCGGTTATGTCTATTTTTGCACGGTCACGGTGATTGAGCTCGTTGTATTTTCGTATAACTTAGTATAAAGTAATCGTCTAATAGAGATAACTGAGATGAAACGTGTACGATGAGATTGACTATGGTTTTTCTGTTTGATTGACTTGACTATCTTGACAGACTATAGTTTTCTGCATGTTGGTTAATAATTGTGGAAAATATTTTTGGCTTGTGTTTAGTTTCAACGGATCTTTAAAGCAACAAGTTCCATCAACAATGCTTGGTAACAATTTCTGAAGTTTCGTCTTTAAATAACTTGAGCAAGCCACCACACATTAACTAACGATAGTCTTTTCATCGTCTCACTAGGGTATCAATGAAAATCGGTCATTTGTTGGCAAAAGAGCATTGGCAAAGTTTCATATTATACACTCCAGCCTCTCTAATACCAACAGCGAACGGACAGAACAAAGTGTCCATGTTAGAGAGCTATCCGTTTTATAGAAGTCCCCCAAGATTACTCAATATTTAAGATTCCGTTTTAAGTGCACAGTAAATAAAATCGAGTGTCTATATTAACATATTACTACATTTCATGATCAGTTATGTCTTATGAAGATCATATAGATATGAATTAATTTGACGGAACGAAAGATTCAGGGGTCATATACGCTTTAATAAAGCGTTCATTTGTGTACCTGCAAACAGGAAATTGTACAACATACGTGCGCAAACTTGAAACTACCATGCTCTGTGAGAGTCTTCTGATGAAACATTGCGCGAACTGTGACAGTTAACTAGTAAGGGACGGACCATTAGAAAAGTAAAGGGGGGGGGGGCACACAAAAATCCATGGCAAAATATTTCTGGAAAAACATTCCTACAGCCGGAAGGTGGCAGAAAAAAACAACACGAAAAAAACAAGCACCCCAACCGAACGGTAAAAAAACCATGCATGAAACAGGACTTTTACGTCTATTAAGCCTTTTACATCTATTTATATTTTTACTACTAAGCCTTTTACGTCTATTATTTTTACTACTAAGCCTTTTACATCTATTAAGCCCTTTACATCTATTAAGCCCATGTACGAAACAGGTCTTTTACGTCTATTAAGCCTTTTACGTCAATAACGATGAAACAGGCCTTTTACCTCTATTTTTCCTCTCGTCTCCGCCCCTTTTTGCCATTTTCCCGCGCGTTCAGTCTTAGTCCGGGAAACAATAAAACGAAGGAAAATAGAGGGATTGCTCGCAGTCTACGTCTATTAAGAAAGATCTAACGAAGTTTCGTGCTTCAGTATTCCCAAGCCTTACTGCATCAAGAGAAACAAGGAGGCGAAATAGGAAGTTGTATAATTGGAGAATTAATAATTCTAATTAAATTAGGTAATATGACTAATTCTTTCCCCCTGAATCAGATGTAGCACGGTCACCCCACTCTTCCCAAGATCCATCATATACGCTAACATCCTTGGCACCACAATGATGGGCAGCTAATGCCATGATACACGCTGTAATCCCTGTGCCACATGTGGCCGTAAGTGGTCGATTAAGATCAACATTGTTCTCAGCAAACACTTTTTTCAATTGTTCCGAGTCTTTCAACATTTGGTTGTTATCCTCAAGAAATTCAGGAAATGGAATATGCCCTGAGAAAGGAATCTGTCCAGCCATCATTTCTTTTGGTAGCGCGTCAGCTACAGTATGTATTCCTCCAGTTCTGACATTTGCAGCCATGGCTTCATAGTCTTGTACCAGCTTTGGATTCAACTTTGCATTGTATGGTTGATTTACTAAAACCAAATCAGATTGTTTACGGTGGCCAAGTGGCTAGCGCACTTGCCTTTCACCTCTAAGGTCGCAGATTCGAATCTCAGTGAGAACTTCTCAATGTCACTCGAACCCAGTCCTCATGTGAAAAGAGTAAAAGTCAACGCTCTGCCGAAAGTCGTGGGTTTTCTCCGGGCACTCTGTGTTTCCTCCCACAGGGAAAGTTGACAGGGTGGGTTAGGCACATAGGTCTGGAGGCAGATCATTAATGAGGTACGGACTAATAGCGGCTGCTCAAGCGCCATTTGTAAGCTCAAAGTCTACCTCGGTCTGCTTCACGTCAGTCCGGTTCTATCTATCTATTCATAATGTAACCAGTCACTGAAAAGCCCTGGTATAGGGAGTGTGCTGTGAAATATCTGTATCTGTATCTGTACAGTTCTGAGTTAGTTCTATATTCCAAGGACTATAAGAGACGAGCTCTGATACTCCTCTATTGTGCGAGCTATAGTGCATGAGCACAAACGGCACAAGGCGAAACATGAGAGTTGGAAATCACGTATTGTTATGGGGGACATTTCAAGCTCTAGAATAACAAAATAAAAGCGAGTGTTCCAACTATGTTTTAACTGATGAGTGTTCCAACTATGTTTTAACTTAAATAATACATGATAGTGTTGGGAAAGCATTAGAAACAGCTACCAGGGTCGCGTGACTAGGGTATTCAGGGGGCGATATTCCTGGGCTTATAAGTATATGTAATTTATTTGAAATGTATAACATTACGCTTTAAACTCCATTATATAGGCATCACAGAAAATGTGCGAAAGATTTCGATGTTCAGGTTTTAACAAAAATTTACAGGAAAAAAAGCCCACTAAATATATTCACTCAAATAAACCCGAATTAGATCTATTCTTTGTTTGCAATCACATCACTTTTCATCCAAATGACGGGCAATCAAACAACTTGTGGACGATTTTTCTCCTATCAGAATGGTTGTAGCAAGAAAAAACTGAAAGGTAATTCATCTTTTGAGTCTTAAACTGTCTCTGAATTCGATCAACACATTAAAATAGCAGTTTTTTGTTATACCTGCCCGTCAACGGAAATCCAACAATTACGTCATTGCAAACAAAGAATACTTCCTCTCTTTGATACAACTGGTCATCATTAACAATGTATTCTATCTTTATCGCTTTTGACATGCAGATATGAAAATATTGGAACAAAAATTTACCTTATACAAACGCATTCTATTATCAAACTCGAGGTATATTGTTCTTTTGTTCTCTACATTTTTTATCATTTCCTTTGTATTTTTAATATGTTCGCATTGCAGGATATTTTTGATATATGATATATGTGTTGAGGGGGTTTTGAACTAAATTCTATTTAGTGCATGGAATTGTGGTCGTGCGCGCTTGCTATTTTATTGAATTTCTAAAGCTTTTTCATGTCTAATGTTACGTTTACATTTGTTTACTCCTTTTTGGAACGTTGGCAATCTCAATTTATATATCTATGAAACGCTTAAAAATCACACAATCGATCGCAGCTTGATTCAGTGTCTGTTTATATATAAACTATATATATTCTGCTAATGTGCCATCGACTTTGCTTGACAGTGACGGCAAAGAATGCCTCCAAATTATCCCCCCCCCCCCATTTTGCCCCCCCCCTCAAAAAAATTTATTAGTCACTGAGAGCGACTAAAGGCTACACAAGAGTTTTGTCGTTATCGGAAAATGTATGGCTTATAAGTTGTCATTACTCATTAGTGAATGCGCATATACATGAAACTGTCTTTTACAGTTTCAATATTAGTTTGTAAATCTCTGAATGGTAAAACTTGCCAATACTCCAATAATACGTTTCAAAAAAGACAAAAAATAGGTACGCAAGGCGTACATGTATCTGCGAAAAAACTTGATTCACATTTTGTATTTTCTTGAAAGAAACTGAATAATAAAGATGACATGGGACAATTGAAATATTTCATCACTTATTATAATAGCAGATAAGATTTAAAACAGGGCTGTACACAGCAGGGAGTGCAGCAGGGCAAGTGCTCCCACCCCCGCACCGAGAAAATTTAACTAACTTTATAATGTCATTATGATTGTAACAGATAATTATGCAGTCAGGAAATAAAAATTTCATGTAAACAATATTCAAAGTGTCTATACAGCCGGCTATTTAGTAAACTGTCACCTGTCAATTCAATCCATACTCATCAAATTTTCAAAACTTTATTGTAATCATATAAAGCAAAAGTTATGTCACTTGTTGTAATTTACACTTGCCAATGTTAACGGTTGAGTAACATACACAAAATATTTGGTGAACATGTCGAAGACCACTGAATAATTGAGAATGTTTTGAAGGTCATGAGTGAAATATATAATTAAATTCCAGTTCTGTGCATGGTTAATGATATACCACACTGTTCGGTTTAACACGTACAGCACATTCACACAAAAACAATTGTGTTGTGGGAGATTATCGGTTTGAGTAGAAGGTATCACAAGTTTAGTTTTGTACATTGTGTGCCATTGATCAAATCCACCATATAATATATGATTATTCATTGTAGCTGTTAAGTTATTTTCCATACTAAATTGTAATGAATTTAGGTAAGATTGTCTTGCAAGTCGGTGTTTCTGACAAAATTATCCAGCCAATATCCAGTACATTTATCCTTCATTCTTGTATTAATCTCTAAAGAAAAATATTTATGTTAGAAAGCAAAATGACAATGTAATGTGGCTCGGGAGGGTGAGGATTCTTTTATTTGAAAATGTTTGTAAAAATTTTGTTTAATTAACTCCAATGTGTAAAACCAAAATGCATAAGTATTTTAACTGATAACATCTTCAACCTTTGCTCTAACACTACATTTGATGACAGCTTTATAGTTGGACCGACTGTTGTTACGGAGTCAATATACAGAAATACAGGACCAGGATTTAATTCAATATCTCCTGAGAACTGTTCAATAGGTTCCTTTGATATTGTTAATTGGCAATATTGCCTGCTATGTTTTCACTGTTTAAAATATTACAGAAGTCACAGAAGGATTGTTTTTAATACTGTATAAATCTTTTTGTGAACTATGTTGACAAATCTATTTCAAATGGCTTAAAATATCCTCGAAAATATCCAATATTTTATACAGTGTAATATATTAATAAAAAAATTCCAGAGTGCATTCCATGTAAACTCTACGCCAAAGATACGGCAATACAATTCTTTATTCTGTGGCAATATTAACTAGGCCAAAAAAAAAAATATGTGGGTTTCCGGTTTCCCGACCCTACCTAGCTTTTGGACGTCGAAATCCCGACCCTAAACTTTTTTATTGGATCATGGTTGTAAGTGTTTCCACTTAGAGAAAAAAGTTTGTGGAAAATTGAAATTTGAGGCAATATTAGGGAAATTTATCTTTGGATGTGGAAGCACTGACTAAACAAAATGGCGTCCGCTTGTTCGGAAAATTAAAAAAAAATTTAAAAAAAAAAAGTTAAAACCGACCTACCCTACCTACGTTTTTATAAGAAGAAACCGGAAACCCACATATTTTTTTTTTTGGCCCTATAGATAGTATACCGTAGTAAATATTTGCCGAACTGGCAACTCATGTATTATTTATAAATATGTGGGACATATACTGTATTTGCACCAATTTGGTATTTAAATATATAATATGTGGTATTTGACTACTTACCAGATGAGGATAAGATTCCATGTTGATAAATAACTTCAATTCAAGATAAATTGATAAAAATATCAAGATATTTTTGAAAGAATAACACGATTTATACACGAGGCGAAAGCACAGATAGGAAGTTATACCAGAAGCGTAACTCTAGTCGTTTCCCTTATTGTTTGACGTCCACGAAAATTTTTAACTTGCTCACGTCAGGCCACGCCATCCTGGCTAGTACAGCCGGAAGTTTTTATCAGGATTTGGTAGGTACAAAGTGCCGGTTGTACTAGCCAGGATGGCGTGATTGATGACGAATCGCTTGTAAAAACGCGGACAAATATTTGCTCGAGTTACGCTTCTGGTATAACTTCCTATTCTGTGGCTAAAGTATGCCCGTTTGCAGGTTAGATGCGGGCACGATGTAAACAATTGATGTAAACGAATCGCTGATTGGCATAAAATAGCATAAAATAGCTTAAAATATATAAGCTCGTCGCTGAATGGCTATGTGTTAACATACGGTAACACTGACGGTCACGTTTGCGATAGCAATATATCTGCTTCGCAGATACAAAAAGCTTTAGTTTTGCAAAGTTAAATTCTCAAACCTGTAAAGGCCCACACAGACGGGACACGATTCGGCAACGTGACGCGAATTTTCAGTTTTCAAAAACAAATAAAACCGTCAATGGATAAAAATTTTACAAGGTATGCAGACCAAATAGCTAAAATTGCTAAGTGGTCCCGAATATTTGAAAAACAATGAATGAGTGAAAACTGAAAATTCGCGTCGCGTTGCCAAATAGCGTCCGGTCTGTATGGGCCTTAAGACACCAATAAGATGAAAGTATCACAAAATTATTTGAATAAACTACATCGCATATATGGGGGGCGAATATCCTAAAGGGGGGGGGGCGCGATATTCCTGGGGCATTCACCCCTCTGGGGGGGCGATATTCCTAGGATATTCGTCCCCCGGGGGCGGTATTCCTAGGAATATAGGGGGGGGCGAATCTCCTGGGTGGGGGGACAAAAGTCCTGTGACAACGGCATGGGCAAATAGCAGTACCTTTTTAAAAGTTCTATCTTGCCCCCCCCAAAATGAGTTTGCCCCTCAAATGCCCCCCCCCCCAAATTCTGAGGCCTGGTGCCGCCACTGTTGCTTGAGCTGTTAGTGCTGTATAGAGTCTTACATAGAGATGTCTTTAAAAGGTTTTTCTATCCATTCGTGTTTGCTTTCTCTTGCTGATTTCCATATTTTGCATCAAGTGATGTTTCATTCTATATTTTTATAAATTTTTGGTTTCTTACTAATCTTAGTGTGATAAATCTGTGTATATAGTCTATATAATGTGCATGGTAAATGTGCCTAGCAGTGAACAGACTTGATATGAAATCTGATCTTAATTTACCTATATGTCAATGAGACACACATGTTTAACATCTGTCACCTCTGACTGCCCTTTAATCCCTGGTCTTTGCTACTTCAATATGTATTGCTTCTTCTCAGTCCCATTAACAGCTCACTAGTCGCTGCGAGTAATAACTGTGCTTGATATAATTTGTGCTGTTTACTGTAGTTCTATTTGCTTTTAATGCCCGCAGCAATCCCTACCTTGCAGGTACCCTAGTTTTAAAATATGATATGCCTATATGATTTTTGATGGGGAGTGGCATATTGCTTCCTTAATCTTAATATTCGTTGCCAAAAGATATTGTACTGACAAATATACTTACATCTTATAGGTGGTTCACCGGATTCTACAGGCAAACCTGCATCCAACCACTTGCGAAAACCTCCATTTAAAACCGAGATTGCTTCGTGGCCAAAACATCGAAACATCCACCAAACTCTTGGGCTTGAAAACAGTCCAAAATCGTCGTCAAAATCATAAGTAATAATATGACTGTCATTTGAAATACCTATAGGACCACAATAATTATAAAAATTATTGGTGGCCAAGATTGTATCATTGTTATAAATGTTCACTTTAAGCCAGTTTCCACCAGGCAGAATTTTGCATGCAGAGCTTAATTTTTCTTTGTCTTTTCTAATTAGTTCCACCCCAAAAATCACAAGAGTGATTAGCCTAGTGAAAATCCGGCTTGACATGCGCAAACGGTTGTAAAATATGGAAAATCCTAAAAGTCAGCAGATGACCAGTGTTTGCCAAAAGTTCCAAGATTCATGCAATTATTGGCACTCTAGATAGTAGACCGGGTGGTGCTGCAAATGTACACCCTAATATTCAATGCCCCTTGCTATTAGGGTCATGAACATACTCATAGTTTTAATACATACCTAAGTGCTTCACATATTCAGCAAATAGTTTTTCATCAGGAAGCATTTGCTGATATTTGCTTGTCTTATCAGAGCATTCGTCAATGTCAAAGAATACAGCGCCAGGAATATGTTTCTCGATATAGTCCTTTCTGGATTCCACAGCGGCACCCTTGATGCGCCACGTTCCGTCAACAATACTCAACGATTTCTGAGGTTTTGTCTTCAAAATAGCTTGAGCAAGCCACTGTACATTGACTAATGACGGTATTTTCATGGTTTAATTCAAATCGTACAGAAAATCGAATATTTGTAGGCGCAGACACCACTGTCCAAACCAGTATAAAGTGGTAAATTATGATCAGTGTCTCAAGAATCGTGAGTCAAGTATAAAGCTAGCCTGCATGGCAGGCGGTCTAAAATACCGCCTGCTGGGTTTGGCAGTGTAATTTGATAACCGCCCACTTTTTTGTCCGGGTCCAATTAGTCAATCAGCAAACACTAAATATATTAATAATCAAACTGTCAAACTATGTTATTGTTTGGTCGCAATCGCTAAATATATTAATGATCAAACTGTCAAACTATGTTATTGTTTGGTCGCAAAATTACAAATGTATAAAAATATGTCGAAAGAAATGCCATTGAAAGTTTCAATCAGGACCTCTGAATAACGACAAGAGGTAGAAAAGCAAGCGCGGAAAATGTAAATGACTTGTTGTTTGTGTATTAAGTGTGCTTTGAAACTAAAATACGGGGCAATAGAGAAAATATCTTGTATTCTTATATATCGTCGGAGAAATTATTTATTTAAGGCAAGCAAAAGAAACGTTACGACAGTGGCAAAACCTTGGCCGAAATAAGCCGAATTGCCGGTTCAGTTCATTTAGGAACAGTGGCGTGCTGGGTACTATTTTTCTGGAGGGGCCAGTGGGCTGTCAACCAATATGCGCCCCTATAATGTTACGCTTGATAAACGAGGGCCGAAGGCACGAGCCGAGTGCTGCAGGTGCCGAGTGCTGCAGGTGCGAGGTTTGTCTAGGGGGGTCCGGGGACATGGCCCCGGAGGAAATTTTTGAATTTAGAATCTCTGAAATGCCATTTCCTAGACTTTGGGGGAAGATTTGACAGAAATCTGATGGTCAGGAAACGGCATTATAACGTGTCGAAATTTGCAATTTGGTTAGAATTTAGTAGTATAGTACTTAAATTATGGAATGCTAACTACTTCCAGCGATTAATCTAATCCCAATTCTATTGAATTCTCTACTGATCTAGTGTTCTGAATACATTTACAACTTACAGCTCTTTTATACAGTAACACACGGACCCCACGCATATGCATTTTAAGGTTTCTTTGCCTGGCTGCCAAAAGGGCGCGTTTCAGCATTATTTCATTACTTACGTTACTCATGCTTCTTGCGCAAACAACTAAATTGCGTACACAACTTTACATCAGTTATCATAACTTCAACGATTTAATTTGCGCCGCTCTCGTGATTCGTGAACCAATTGCCTGTGATCACTGATCATTTTCTATATGAACGATTTCGTGTGAGCTGTGAGGTAGCAAATTAGCAAATACGGTTAGGCAAAATAGTCTGTAATTTAATATATGTCGCCTATGCGCTTAGTTTGTTTTATACTCTAGCCCATAAACACGTCATTTCTTGGCGGAAGTAACCATATTTTTTCGAGAATGCGTTTTTTCCCACCCACTTTCAAAATTCGGCGCCCCATTTTCATTTTTGCGCCCCCCAAGAATTGCCAGCTGGGGGGGGGGGGCCGTGGCCCCCCGGCCCCCCCTGCCAGCACGCCACTGTTTAGGAATCGAAGTTAATTCTACCTCGGAACTATCCGACCGAGTTTGTAAAGTGTAAACCGTGTGAGCGAAATATCCGAAATGCAAGCGAACTGATTGCCATAATCAATTGACCGTTGTATATTAAAAACCTCAGTTGCCAATATGAACTGTCTCGTCTCCCTAACGAAGCCGTGTGGTAACGAAAGCCTTAAAAAGTTCAGAAAGTGAAGCGGCTAATAGGCCTAGGCGTAATAGTCCTGTTATATTAAAAACCCGTTGCAAGAAAGACTATGCGGACGTCGTATCTATTCTCGTTATATTTTCTCGCGCCAACAAGAACAATGTAAAAATCAAGCTTTTCCCATAGAACGGCCAAAACATTCTTTCCAAGGAGTAAATCTTTAACTGCTATCTCACTTGCTCGCGTTTGACAATCAGTTCGCGTTTCGACTTTCGAGAAGTGTTCAGTTTTACAACAGCTATTAAAGCGAACGCATGCATCATTAAATTAAAGTGTTAAACGTATGTTTACATAGTAAAGTGTATCCACTTTTGAGTGACAGCGGCTCAGACTCGCAGCCAATCATCAATTCCCGTCCACTGGTGGACGGGGAATTCGATTATACTGCCAAACCCAGCAGGCGGTATTTCCCAGGCTTGCCCAATTTTAGGAACCGCCTGCCATGCAGGCTAGTATAAAGCATGACCAATGATTTACGGAATTTATTATTTATAATTATGCATGCCTCTCTTGCAGGGAATTAAGTTATCTATCATGCATAAATTATACAATGTCAATGGGCTAGTTCCGCATTCAGTTTACTCTGTTTCCAGAAATAATGTATAAAATGGTTCAGAACTATCCACACTGATAAGATTTCAATCAACTTTTTAATTAAAATTGTTTTGGAAAGGTCGTGCAGCAAAATTGTCATTGTCTGATTGTCATAAGGCAGAGAATGTCTGTATAATGCTAATGTTTTGTGGATACGAAAACAGTAGAGAATGAGTATAATAAAGGGAATATACATAGGCGTACCGGGCGGGGGGGCGGGGGGGGGGGGCGGTAGCCCCCCCCAGTTTTTTGGGCAGTCGGGCAATATTCGATCAACAGTCGGGCAAATTTAGTTTGTAATAAAAATAAATGGGACAAATTCTGTCAATTTAGTCGAAAATTCAGTTAATTTTGTGGTCAATTTTGTGTTGTGTGGAAAATTTGTTTGATGTTCCGAAAAATTTTGGTATGTCCGGAAAACATTTTTGACCCCTAAAATGGTACACTGACCGAAAATTTTTTGGCGACGGGGGGGGGGGTCGCCGAAATAATTTCTCCGGAAAAAATTTTTTAGGTACTAGTCGGGGACAATCCCGAAAAGTCGGGCAAATTTCTTTCCGCCCCCCTAAATTTTTCCTTCCGGTACGCCCATGGGAATATACCAAACAGTATCTCTCTCCTCCACAGAGCTTTCCTAGCTTTTTAACTATAAACAAGGCAAAGCTTCGATATCATAAGACTATCTTATCATAAGACTATCTTCGATATCATAGACTGTAATGAGCGAATCTAGCGCCTCTATCCCTTGTTTATATGTCTTATGATATCGAAGCTTCGCCTTGTTTATAGTTAATTAAAAAGCTAGGAAAGCTCTGTGGAGGAGAGAGAAACAGTATATATTTGCAGCTATAAGAAAAGAGAAGGTAAAATTCGTAAAGGTAAAATGGGCGTCAGTCGTCTAGACTGAAAGCATCAGTGTTGCCGAAGGTCAACTGGATGTACAAGTTTTCACGCTGCACTGCACTCTTTCAATTAGCTAGAGAAGACAATAATGTACACTTGTACATAAACGTTTGTGTATAATTGAATTGTACAATGTGGAAGTACGTTGGTATACAGAGGTTGGTATATACACTGAGTGAAATGTGACCTGTTTTTAGTTACTGAACTTTCAGTTGCACACCGTCACCGTGGTAATTTCTATAAAAAAGATACCTCTCAAACACGGACGCTGCTCTGTCCCTTCAGTCTCCCTACTCCCTATTGGGAAGTTTCGACCTTGCAGTATGACGTATCAGGTCTTGTAGTATGACGTATCATCAAAAATAATCCGCCATTTTGGGTGGAAAAAATATTTTATTCAAGCGACTACTACACAGCTGTGGAGCATTATAACTGTTCAAAATGCTCAAACAAAAGCAACACCCGCAGTCAGTGCCACAGGTTTCCTTTGACACCATGTTTGCTTTTAATTAACTATCTTTTCATTTGAGGCACGTCAAGGTTTGTCATGCCCTAAAGCAACCTAAACTGTACTTACGCCTTTTAATGTCTCTTCGTTGTTTTCTCCGAACGAAAGAAATAATGATACCTTCCAATTTGTTTCAGAACTAACACAATTCACCTAAAAAATTATCAATGGATGTAGTATTTAATGATGGATCACTATTGTAATGACAGAGTGAGAAAATATTTTTAATTCTTTTCATTACATGCAGGCTTTGTATTTTGTGGCATTTGTGCATAAAATCATGAGAGATGCATGTAGAACCAATTTCCAAGAATAATTTTGTATTGTCTGCGAGGCATGCCCTAACCAGCGCCTGCCTCGCAGGCTAAATTTTTGTATGACCCGTTCTTTTGACACCAAATAATGTAGACTACGCGACAGTGCTCTTCTCTGTTTGCAATAGAATATGGTGACACCTGCCTATATCTAATTATTTCAACAATCTTTCTGCGACTTAAAAGTAACTAAAAGTAGCCGCTGCTTAGAGGTTATGATCGCATACACGCGTAAAAACGCTCAGGTTGATGCAATACTGATGAAAACAGGATTGAACAATGGTTTCCGGCCACATTGTTCATAGCTGTCACCAATATTGAAGAATATTGTTACACCCGATTCAGGCTCAACAACATTGTTCAATATTGTTGTAAAGTTAATAAATAAATAAATAAATAATAAACAAGTGTGAACAGCGTGGGCAGCAAAACATTGTTCAGTCCTGTTGAGCAACGAGCTCGGCGTTTTTTGCCGTGTATATCGGTATAGCCGTATAGGGGGACGGTAAATGCATGCATGGTAGAGATAAATGACGTCATTTCCCCCAGGATTTACCGCGCTGTCAGTGTGACAAAAAAGACATTTTACTTTTGTTAAATTTCGTCAATTTTGGAAAAAGTTTATAGTAATGAGATTTTTATCAGTAAAATACTTTAGACATACTAATAATTCAGTAATTGTTAGGTAAAATTTCGTGTTTGAATGATGTAACAGATATGCTAAAAGTGATTAATGAGACTCTCTAGCCTGCAAATCCCGCCAATTTCAAACATGGAATAGGAAATTAGTGGGTTTTCAGGCTGGAAATATCTGCGCCCTACCCGGTTTTTGAGTTTGGACCAGTATAGAATATAGCTTACCATGCTTCAAAAGGTTTATGTCATTGTAGCCTTGAGAAAAATATCAAGTCTTCATTTACATTAACCTGTTTTTACCTTCGATCAATAAACGCCAGCTTCACGAAAGTATAGACGTTACCTTGTGAAATTTCCCTTACCTCATAACAACCAGGATTGTCAATCAGCTCACTGCCGCTAGCATGAAGAGGTTGACCAGCATTTACAGGACTTAAAATAACCTTGTCGTTTACAACAACCTGAAATATCAATGGATAGTAGTCACTAATGAAATGAACCTCAAATTTTAAAGGGTTATTATGAAGTAAAATTATTAAAGAGCGCCACATTTATGAACATGGCGCTTAATCAAAGCTGACTTTATAAAGTTTCAAGAATGCGATTAGAAAAATTTGCAAGATTTATTTAAAAATATAGTTGTAAAAATTGTAAGATATGTCTGAGTCGCCTAACTTCATGTCCTAGATTCTCTTCTTAGAACTTATAGATTTTATAGTACTGTATATAATCTAAGAATATAGATAGATAGTAAGTTTAGATAGTTAGGATAAGTGTCCCCAATTAGTTTGTAAAGAGGTAAACATATTGTTGACACTTTTTAATAAAGTTTAATAATAATAATAATACTGTCAGATAGAATAGTTAGAGACGCCAAACTAAAACAGTAACATGCATCTCAATTATGCATGCCTGCACAACAAGCCTATGTAACTTCTTTCTTCCTCTTTCCTGTGACTATTTTTTACAAATAAAATAATGTTTTTTAAATGACATTGTCCTTTTGAATATACAGTCCGAAACGCTAAAAGTACGAGCAACTACCAAATATTGCGAGCAGTATCCAAAACATTTTCCATATGTGATATGAAAGTCATGAAAAAACTTTCTGCGTGGTGAAGATAGACAAAATATTGATAAACAGACAACTTAGAATGACGTTTACACTGTAAATTGCAAGAATCAACTCCAAAAGAGTTTTAATATATTGAATCAACTCCAAAAGAGTTATTCTGTCATCGTTTTTGGTAACACAATAACACGTTTGGAGTTGATTCCTTGAAATTTATAGTGTAGTGCCACAGAATAAAGACACACAGAAGGTCGACTCGAGTAACCGCTGCCACGCAATGATTCATCATCAAAATGCTGACGCCATGGTCCTATAACCAGTGCGCGTTTGAGAAGCATCCCCCTGGACGTCCGCCATTTTGAATATTATCAGGGGGTGAATGCCTCTCAAACGCGCACTGGCTCATTACCATGGCGTCCGCATTTTGATCTTTTGATGACGAATTACGGTAACGCCAAAATCATTGGAAAATCATAGGAAAAACCAAGAAGTCGGGCTTTTGTATGACTTATTCTGTGGTAATGCAGTGTATAAGCATCAAATTATTCTTTTAATTAACCTAAAAAAACACCGATAAAATTGGCGAATCTGCCAACAAAATGTTATTATTTTCAATAGAATTATTTTCAGTACAATTCATTATTTGATTGTTTTCGTGCAAATTTTGAAAAAAACATAGTAGTCAACTCTAAAAGGAAAGAGATGTATATTGACTTGTGGCAAGTACATGTAATGCAAATATTTAGCACAATTTGCTTTCTCCAATGACTTGCTCCAATGGCTTGTGATAATGTTGATGTGTACATGCACGTAGGCCTAGCTAGCACCATGCATGCTAAACGATCATCATCATCTGAAATCCAACTATTATATATATAATACAGTAGATGAGTTCGGACATACTGTATAAGTGTACAACAATTTGGAGTAATTACATACATCGTCACCTTGAGATCGTAACTTGTAGAAAGGCAAAACATAGAACCACGATCCCTATACAGAAAATTACGGAGAATTATATTAGCTGGCTGTGGAAGAAAGCAAAGAAATAGAACACCAATATGTTAGCACAAGCAAATAGAAGCTGTTGTATTGTATTGTATTGTATTGTATTAAAACTTTATTTAAAGACACTAGCCCCGTCAACGGTGCGTTGGTTTCCACGGGGGGCGTCTACAATGTTAAAAATTACAAAAGATATAAGGGAAAAGAAGACTATTTACAAATTGGTGTGACCCCAGATGTTATGGTTAGACGGAGTTACAATTTATTTCAAATATATATAGTATTAGAGTTAAGTTTTAAATGGATTTTGAACAGGTGCATTGATTCTGCCAGTTTCGTATCGATAGAGAGACTATTCCATAGCTTAGCCCCACTGTATTTAAAACTCTTTTTTAGGAATTCTCTTTTAGGCTTAGGAAGAGCCAAATCTGTATGACTATTTCTAAGATCACAATTTGTTTGCATATGATTGCGTCTTATCAAGGATTCTTTCAACGTAGGTCCTACGTAATCCTTCAAGACTTTAAACATTAATATTGCTTTGGTTGTACGTCGTCTTGTCTCTAAATTGTCCCAAGCAAGAGATTGAAGAACATCAGCAGATCTAATCTCATAACTTGCACCGACAATGATTCGGGCTGCGCGATTTTGAAATTTTTGGAGTTTATTTTTCAAATTTTGATCACAGACGCCCCAAATGGGAGAACAATAATCAAAATACGGCTGAATCAGAGCTCGATAAATTGTTTGAAGGGTGGTTATTGGAACAAAGGGTTTAATACGTCTCAAACAACCCAGGCCTGCTCCAACCTTTTTGCAAATCGCCTGAATATGTGAATTCCAGTTAAGATTTTCATCTAAATCGAGACCAAGACATGTGAAAGAGTGAACTCTGGGGATGCGTTGGTTATTTAACATCACTGGATGATCAAAAGTTGTGGAATTAATATGATGTTTAGAGCCAATGAACATTATTTTGGTCTTAGTTGGGTGGTGTTGTAATTTATTTCTAGAAAGCCAATCACCGATTCTACTCAGATCGTGATTAAGGTTTTCGGTTAATTCAATCAAACTGTTAGAGCTGCAGCAAATAAGCTGTTTACCTCATTTCCGTTTGTATCTAACGTCACTCTCATAGCATTTTTCTCCAGATGAGCTGGTAATCTCTTGTTAGCAGTCAGATATTTGTTACTCTTCACATGCAAAATCTACATTAAAATAGAATTATTTATTACCTGATACACTTTTCAATACATCAATCTTAATGTTTTCCCAATTTGCGTACGGTTGCGTATTCATCCGGATCGGAAAAGTAACAAGTCATGAAAATTGAAAAATATTTCACTATTTCTCTCAGATAGAAATTTCCAGTCGTTTGAGTTAATTAAAAGACAAGCTATAGTGACACAATAGTCCGGCAGAAACTGGTACTTATTTATCCGATGAGCCAACTGGAAAAAAAGTCCCACGAAAGACGTGCGTGCTTTGTAGAAAGTGGACTATGTATACGTTTAAGTGGGAATAGTATATTGTAGAAAACGAATATAATACGAATGTTTTATTACTTAAAACTGGATACAAAAACAAAACGTCTTCCACATCACCTGTACAACATGACCATACTTCACCACTTGGCCCAACAACTTTTTCTTTTCAGATTCATTTTGCTTCTTCTCTAGTTCTGCAGCATGCTACAAGAAAGAACAAAAAAAATGATGACATGTTCACAATACGAGTGGCCCAGTTCTTTTCTATTTAATATAATACACATTCAAACATTATTCTCCTTCCTGATTGGCCAACAATGCTCAACCAAAATTCGGTTAAAAAAAACAAAGTATATTATTATTGCACATAGCCGGATTAATTTGAAGGGAGGTGCGCACCTCCCATGGAAGCGTTTGACCAGAAGTCCAGGACGTCCTGGTTAAATTAACCAGATTATGTTAGGTGGACAATTCTGTACTGCACATGAAAATGCATACACAATGACATTTTAATCTTACATAGGACTCAAGTATAGCTGCTTGCAATTGAAATAGAATGGAGACTCTCCCCTTGAACGGACAAAAACACTGAACATCCTTCTTGCAAGTTACAAGTTACAAGTTACAAGCTGAATCTGCACTATCATTTACGTTTTCTCTCAAAAGAAACCGAAACAATGAAAACTTGTATATTGCACTGTGGAGTAGCTGTTTCCTGGCGTAGTTGAAACATAATCGTGTGCAGTCAGAAGTAACGATCAGTGAAGGAACGGATAGCCGTATATTCACAAGTATTGAATAATGTATAAGCCATAATAATACAATATCATATACATGTGTACCACTTTAAGAGCTTTGTAAAATCTCGGTTAGGATCCTGTCACAAATCCTGGTCCAGAGTCCGTCACAAATCCCAGTTAAAGGCGGTTTTCCAGTCCTCGCACGAAGCTCCTCGCAGCTCGCTGCGAGTGAAAGCATGAGCACTATCATCCAATCACAATGCTAAACAGTTAATTTTAATTAGATGCAAGCACTCGCAGCGAGGAAACCGCCTTAAGATCCTGTGAAATCCTGGTTACGACCGGTCACATATCCTAGTTAGGATCCTGCCAAATCTTGGTTACGATCCTGTCATAAGTCCTGGCCTGGTTTGTATCCCGTCAAAACCTGGTAAGATATCTGTTAAATCCCGGTTAGGAGCCTGTGAACTCCTGGTTAAGATCCTGGAAAATCTCGGTTAATATCCTGGTTAAGTTCCTATCAAAATCCTGGTTAGGATCCTGCCAAATCCTAGTTAAGATCCTGTTCTTGGTTACGATCCTGTCGTAAGTCCTGGCCTGGTTTGTATCCCGTCAAAACCCGGTAAGTTATCTGTTAAATCCTGGTTTGGAAATATTTCTTTAGCAATCTTGTCTGGATTAGTAGGAGTTTTCTTCTCTGCAGTTTTGAAATAAACGGACGTGCAGAAATACATAAACTGAAACAGCTGGTTAAATTTTAACCTAGGGTTAGCGCAAATCCAGCATTGAATAAACCCGGCCCCAGGTTAGAATCATGTCATATCCTGATAAGATCTTGTCAAATCCTGGTTAGGACCATAGGGTTAGGACCCTGTCAAATCCTGGTTAAGATCCTGTCGCAAATCCTGGTTGGAATCCTGTCAAATCTAGGTTACGATCCTGTCAAGTCCTGGTTAGAATCTTGTCACAAATCCTGGTTAGGATCCTGTCACATGCCCTAGTTTGGATCCTGTCAAATCCTGGTTAAGATCCTGTTTAATCTTCGTTAGGATCCTGTAAAATTCTGGTTAAAATCCTATCAAAGCCTGGTTAAGATCCTGCCAAATCCTGGTTTGAATCTTATCACATTAATCCTAGTTAAAATTCTGTCGTGTCAAATCCTGGTTATAATTCTGTCAAATCCTGGTTGGAATCCTGATACAGATCCTATCAAATGCTGGTTAAGATGGTGTCAAATGCTGGTAAGAATCCAGTGAAACCAATGTCAACAATGATATTTTCATTGGAATGGGCATACACACGTTGACGACATCTAATTACCATAAATTCTGTCTTGGCAATATTAAACCATAGTATTAAACTTACTGTAATTTGTTGTCTTTTAGCTAGCCAACAATTCAGAATTATAAACTCTGAATTAATTTTGGATTTAAAAGCCCGCAACACTAATATTTGTATCATAGGGATATTTTTTGGTTATGCATCATCGGGGACATTCTCGAAGACAATACACTCTTTCTATAATTACGTCACAACTACACTGTTTTCAAGGTAGGACCACCTTAAATGGAAAGGATTTCAAGGGGTTTTTTCTCATGGGCTATGCACAGAGAAGCAGAACATCCTTCTTCAACACATGCATGAAAAAGAATTCTTTATTTTGACCAATAAATGCGGAAATAAGCTTTAACACGAAAACGAGGCTAAGACGTGGAGCATCGTTTTCGTGCTTATTTCCATATCAAGTTATTGATCAAAATCCAAACTCTTTTTGCGCGCATGTGTTATAGAAGGATGTTCTGCTTCTCTATGCATAGCCCATGAGAAAAACCTTGAAATCCTTTCCATTTAAGGTGGTCCTACGTTGAAAACAGTGTAGTTGTGACGTAATTATCGAAAGGGAGTAATATGGACGTCATTGATATAAATGGTTCACCCAGTAAGGACTCGAAACATTTTGAGACTTGTCTGATCCGCACCGCAATTTTCAAGCTTCTGTAATGACATACAGTATCAATAGTATGAGGCAGTTTTAGGCAAAACCTCTGCTCAGTTGCTTCTAAATAATATTCAGGTTCAATATTAGACATATTGGTATCTTTGAAACCAGATTCTCATCAACGCTCAAAAAGTGGTTGTTAAAAGCTTACACTATATCTACAGAATCTGACGTGTAGTTTTTTCCCATTGTTGTTCTCCAAGTTTGTTGTAAAATATTATTGCTTAGCTTTCTTAGTTTTGTTGTTGGTGTCAATTGGCTTGTAAGAATCCAGTGAAACCAATGTCAACAATGATATTTTTCATTGGAATGAGCATACACACCACTATTAGATCAGTGATACACACGTAAACGACATCTAATTACCATAAACTCCGGTCTTGGCAATATTAAACTTAACTTTGTTAACTTCTAGCCAACAATTCAGAATTAATTTTGGAGAGTTAAAAGCCCGCAACACTAATATTTGTAAGAATGATTTCGGGCCCACTATATTGCTGGATCATCAGCCATGATGCTGATGCCGTGGGCCGTGGGTTTTCCCCGGGTACTCCGGTTTCCTCCCACAGGGAAAAGTTGACAGGGTGGGTTAGGTATAAAAGGGCCCACAGTAATTGGCATATGCTGTTGTGGTGACCCTGCCCTAGTTGGCAAAAGCTAAATAAATGTTTTTAATGTACGATTCTGCCAAAGGCTTGTTAGGATCCTGTTAAATCATGGCTAGAATCTTAACAAATCCCGGTCAGTATCCTGTCAAATCATGGTTAGGATCAACAGAAGATGGCCAGAGATTATTGGACAGCAAGACCAAGGTATTTCATGTTGATTATTAATACCGTGTAAGTTATCACTTAAGTTGTGTTTTAAAATTAAACGTTATTAAATATTTATTAAATGAATGCTATTTGTTTTCTAGTATCTAGCAGTGTTGTAAAAATTACCAAAAAAATAAGGAGTAAAAATTACAATTACTTCTCCGAAAAGGTAATTATTACAAATTACAAGTTACTTTCGTTTGAAAGTAATTCATTACATATTACTAATCTCCGGTTAAAAAGTAAATGATTAGTAATTACTTGTCAGATTACTTTTTACTTAAGCGCCAATAAGATTAGTCTCCCTCACAGTCGCTCTTTGTGTCGAGGTTTCTCCCCAGAAGCGGCTGCACACTCGCAGGGCTCGAAATAACGTTCTCAACGTTCCCGATCATGGTGATCGGCAATCACGCCTTTTTTCCGATCACATAAAAATTTGGCCGATCAGGAGCATAGTTTGTCTAAGACTAAGTTTCCTTGAAAAAAATTCTAAATATAATAAACTTTATTTCAAATACAAGTTTAAATCTACGACATTTTTGGACTTATTATATATAATTCTAATAGTGTAACTACATTTAATAAACTTTTAATAAACTTTAGTTTATTAACACATTTTTCAAGTTTTAATTATAGTTATTGCATTTTTTTCAGGCAAAAGCAAGGAACACAGCAGCATTAAATTATCAATTAAGAACTAAAACTTATTATTTAATATTATTAAAAGAGAAAATCTTACTAAAAAAAACTAATCAAAAAATCCTATCAAATTGAAATTATTATAACAAAAACATTCGTCGTCAGCGGTCCGGATTGCAGACTGTTGAAGAGACGATAGTATTTCATGCAAATTTGTTTTTATAGTAAATTACTTTAGAGCGAGAATAGTCTTGCGGCCTTTCCTGTCGTATGACTCGTTTCAACTAAGCAACAGTTTTTTGCGTGTTTTTGAATGTGTTTTATGTTACTTTTTTTTGTCCTTTACCGCGTACAGGTAAGCATGTCTTTCAGACAATGGTCAAATCTATTTCTGCCGATCAAGATGAACGGCAACCTTGCTTCTTCGCCGATCAAAAACAATTTCCTGCCGATCATTGATCGTTGATCGGCCGTTATTTCGAGCCCTGCACTCGAGCACAACATTCCTTTCCTGAAAACAACCAATCACAGTAATGCTTCTAAATTTTGGAAACATGACTTTGGACTTAAGATATTTATGTCGCTAAATTGATTTAGATATTTATGTCACTAAATCTGATTGGCTATCTCCACTCATGGGGAGAAACCTCAACACAAAGAGTGGTTGCAAGGGAGATTATAATAAGATGGAACTGGTACAATATCAAAATGCACATAAGCAATGTGCAAAACAAATCGTACAATCCAACTATGTTGAATTTGTTACTTAATTTGAGTAGGCACAGACATTCAACTTCAATGCAATTTCCTTCAGAAACTTTCTGATATGGTAAGGATGGAAAAAATTAGAAAGCACACAGAAGTAACACAAATCACTTTCTTGAAAATGTTACTCGTTACCCTTAAAAAAGTAATTAAATATTATGTAAACAACAAGTAATTAATTACTGAAAAATTACTCAAAAAGTAATTAGTAATATGTTACTTTAGTAACAAGTATTTACAATGCTGGTATCTGGTAGGTGCATGTAAAGGCCATATACAAGGTTCGGTATAATATCAAAGGCTCAGGCCCTTTGAAAACTGGAAACTACTGGGGGGGGGGGGGTTGTCTGCCAAACTTTTCTGGAAACATTTTTACTTTCCGGAAAAATTGTTTTGAGGGGGCCCCGGAAAGGAAGGGGGCACAAATTTTTGAATTCACCTCTCCCCCCTCCCCCAACCAGATACCACTCGGAATGGCCCTGCTTGGGATATTTCATCCCTCAGGGTAAATAGTGAGTTTAAACAAGCATGGACATCACCCGAAAATTGGGTCATTCTAGAAAACATCCATACCATCCCCACGGAGGAAATTGTCAGTTAATTAACCCCCCTACCCCCTTCGGATGTCCTAATACATTTACTATTATCAGAAACAATTTTTTCTCCCCTCCCCCTCCGGACGGCAGAAATTTCCTCTTTGGGGGGAATGTGGATCTTTTCTGGAACGACCCATTGGTATAACCAATTTTGGCTGCATTTTGCAACATATTAGAGCTCATGTATAAAGGAAGCAAAAAAACTTTAAAAATCTTATGTTTTGTCAGATGTGTTCAAGATTACCACAAAGTGACACAAACACAGTTTTTAACCCAGACCCCCCTCAGCAATCTGAACTCCCTATTGTTTGGGGAATACCCCTTATTCCAGTGATAATTACTGATAATCAGTACATAAGTTTGCAGGGCTCAGGTTGATTGTAGAAATAAAAGTTTCAATTTAATTCAGTGGGAGCCTCACATGGGAACCTATTATGGTAGGGATGAGCCGATAAGGAAAATTGCCGATTACTGAGGCCGATTAATCGGTACCCGCCGATTATTTTAAAAAGCAAGCGAACAATCACAAGATGACCAACAATGAAGTTGTAAATGCGGTTTTATTGTTTACAATACACATTATGTCCAATTGAAAACAGCTTCAATCTTGCATGTCAATAGTCAAAGTTCAGTTTTGGCAGATTATGGTGTAAAAACAGGATATTGTCAGCTTTGCGGAGCTAGTCTGCTGCGTTTTTCACTTCGCTTGAGACAAAAGACACCAGTTTTGCAACAAAATGTGAAAATCTATTCACTTGTATTCAGTATTTTAGCATGTGCTTGGCAGCTGCAGAAAAAGTCTGATGGCCGATTATTTGCCGATTATCAAGCAATAATCAGCCGATTATTTAAAAAACGGCCGATTAATCGGCTTTGCCGATTATTTACCGATTAATCGGCTCATCCCTATATTTTGGTATACACTTGACTTCAGATATGAAAACAATTATATAACATTACATCTCCCCAAGGGGCTGGATTTTTAGAATTCTGGTGAGTGTGGCAAGACTTGTCTTGTCATACGAAACAAATTTGTAGTGAAATAAAGTTCATATGAAGTAATTCAAGTTTGTCTTCTAATCTTATCAGCTCTACTACGGTATTGAGCACTCTACTCATATATGATTCCAAACTCGATACTTGTCTATATATATATTTTTTTTTTTGGTGTGTGTTTTGATGTTATGTACTCAGGTGAAAATAATGTTTTTGATGTTACTCTGAGTGTATATCCACACCAGGCAGTCTGAAAAGTTAGCCTGACCATGGGGGGAATCGAACCTGTGGGTTCGATTCCCACAATGGTCAGGCCTGACCAGTGTGGATATACACTCAGAGTGACATCTAAAACATTATTACAGTATATAATAACTTTCAGTTGTTAAAATTTGATGTGATATATACAAAAATACATTTTATTAAGTCAATCCAAAAATATGACAGTACAGGTCTATTTATAAGAAAACCAAAGTATACATAATTGATTTACATTAATTTAATATGCAACATTGTGGATAGAATTTGTTATTTTGAAACAACAATATTATTTATACTCACATGTAGTTTTGTCAGCAGTACCGTATCTCTTGCAGTTGATAGTATAGGTTTTGCGGATTTCCAAAATTGTTTCTGTGCAGAATAACGGTTCATTGGACATATTTTAAAGAGACAATCTAGGCGTGCAAAGAATAGTTTTAATACGCAGAGGGAATAACAGGTGCTTCGCTTAGGGATCTAAAACCTATAAATAATATACGAAAATGAGATGAATGTCTTCTGCTATACGTTTTACCTCGAAATTTCTTGGGTGGATTATTAAGATCTCCCGCTGCAGGTTGTACAACACAGCGATCATCAACCAATCTGAACAAAATCAACATATTTTATTAAGAGTTCGAGATGGAAGTGATACAAGATTATATATTCTATCGCATTGTGTTTATGTTGACTTTCAAATGTTTAAATAATCAACATACCCCAATGTGCTGAGAAATCCACTATCTAGTCCTTCGGTATACAACGATACTATATCTCCAATGTGGAGAACACTTGTGGTTGAATTCATATTAACTTTATCAATACAAAGCTTCCCAAGTCTGAAGAGTAGTCACTGTTCCTGGTACTGACGTGAATGTCGTCTAGTCGTCTACAGACTTGCGATGGCTATATAATCCGCCAAGTGTGCATTTCAAAAGCATGTTGAGAGGTTCCCTAGTTATGTTGTATTCAGCACATCTTTAAATTCATGTTAAATACGTTCCTGCAGTTTTATTTCGACAAATTAATGTAGCAGCCAGCTCCGACCGCGATTTGCATCAAAATTGCATGTGTTTACTTCTATTTTGCACAGCTGACACAATCCATATAAGGAAACATTCCACATTTAACCAATCAGCGCACAGAATTGTATGGTGCGCATTCGTACAGAATGGTGGCAAATTTCGGAGTTGAGGTTCATATGCAGTTTTCAACAGGATTTTTTGTGAGTTTTTAACCGACAATTTTTCTAAGTAGGGAATTATATACAAGGTACAGTTTCCGTATACATGTCAGCGCGATATTGTCAATTATTTTTTGCTTTTGGAATGATTATAGCAGGATTAAATGCTCTAATTGTCTTAATCACTAATCAGGAAAATACGAATGAGCGAGGGAGCACGGGAGGGGAGGGGGAGGTTGTAGCTATGAAACTTCCACATTACTATGTCCACATAGTAATGGGCCATCGACAAATAGATGTTGTACACCGTTCGCAGACGTGTTCGGTGATGGTGTTCACACCTCACCCCCTCCTCCATCACGCACGGGCCAACATATTATTATTACATGGGAAAGTATAAAATATAAGCATTTTGGGCATCTACATTCAACAGTATTAGAATGCCGTTTTGACAACGAATATAGACCCATACATTGATCGGCGGACAATATCTATTTGTCGATGGCCCCTAAGGCGGTTTTCCAGTCCTCGCACGAAGCTCCTCGCTGTGAGTGCATGCATCAGCACTTTCATTCAATCACAATGCAAAACAGTTAATTTTAATTAGATGCAAGCACTCGCAGCGAGCTGCGAGGAGCTTAGTGCGAGGACTGGAAAACCGCCTTAACAAGGGTAAAAAAGAAAAGCAAAGTTCCAAAAGCAAAATGGAAACTGTAATGTTGCCAGTGAAAAACTAAAATTCCAATTAGCTCCCCCCCCCCGGATGCATGTTAAGTGCAAAATGCTGAAGATCTTCACTGTGAATGACGAATGTACTAGATTGCCATGAGTGTGGCAAATTACAATAATATCCATAGTAAATATTGGCATGTCTTAATTCAATGTACAGTTAGTGCAGAATGCACTCCTAGCTGGCTCCCAAAAAGAGCCCAGGTACTAGTATTGTCCTGAGTGCATAGTGTGGGCCTGTTTTGTCACTTAAGACTTCAACCAACAGTTCTGTGTAAAAGGCAGAGCCGTTTAACTGTTTTAGTTTTGTGTTGGAAATCGTCTTTCAAAATAAGCCTGCACTAATGGGAGGAATATAAATAGGTCCAGCATTGTGGTTATATACATCCTATTTAACCCAGTGAGTGCTAATGCTGATCTCCCCTTGATGTGCAAAATTATCTGACATTAGACAGAGTAAAATAATGAAATAGGATGTATTAGGGTGCTGTGCTGAGTGGTTATATTACTACCTTAAAAAACAAGCAGAAACTCGACGTTTCTAGCGAAGGCCTTTCGTCAAGAGTTAGTAGTAGAGCGCAATGCAACTTGATGGGTTAACAAAGACACATGCACAGATAGTTTGATTAACCCATTAAGTGCTAGCGCTCTCCCCTTGATGAGTAAAATCGTCTGGTGTTAGACAGTCAGAGCAAAATAATAAAGTAGGGTGCATTGGGACACAATGCAGCAACTCAATGGGTTGATGAATAAATTTATAAATTAAAAAGTAAAATCTGCAATGAAATGGACAGGTACCTGTAGGTGAAAGGCCATAATATTTGGTCTTGACATCTGTATCACAGACTGCAGTCACTACACTGTCAGACTGATCAGAGCCACTGTCTGAAGACTGCCAAGTCTTGTCAACTCTGACAACCAGACCAGCCAACTTCACAAGATGCTAAACCTGGAGATTTTATAACTAATATTCAGCATTAAGTTGCATTGCACCCCAAATACTGCACTCTACTGTACTATTCACTGTACATCAAGGGGAGAGATAGTGCTGTGGGTACTCAGTGGGTTAAAGATACGAAAACCTGGAGACTGTTAGCCAAAGCTGAAGATTGTTATATTGGTGATTTTTACTTTGATACTTGGCTGCTACTGCCGTATTATAATATGTTAACTTTTTTTGCATTAACTTTACGAAATATATTTGTATTATTTCATTTTTGTATTACATGTACAGTAACAGCATTACCAGATTGTGCTATTTTTAATATCATATCTTCCCTCATCATACGTATGTCTGATAGTCTGATACAGTCACTATATTTTAAATATTGCAGAAGTCCTGTTTGATATTTCTATCATTAGTTCAATATATGTTCATTTTATTTTATTACGAAAACTGTGAGTGCCTCCTCTCACCTGAAAAAATGTGTCTTGTTTTTGTGTCAAAACATTCAGGAATCAAAACATTCCAGTATGCCTATTACTAGCCTACTACAATGTCAAACTATTAGCAAATTACAGTACATTTCCCTGCAGACCAATCAGATGTCTGGGTGACTGTGAGAAATTTAACAGACTTTACATATGTATGTGTAGGCTGCAGGCCCTAGGGGGGAGGGCAAACCTGTTAAAGTATATATACTACTGTCTTGTCAAAATCAAGCCATCTAATGTAAATTATACTGTTAAATATAGTCCATAGATCCATGGTCCATTTGAGGACATGCTGAGGGGTTATAAACCCCTTTCGAGTTGTTCCCTGACCACGCCCAAACTCCAAAATGTGAGCTTTGTGCGACAAAAAATGAGTAGAAAGACATCAACATGTTGAATAGATTGGTCAACTCTGTTGTCTGGAATTTGTTGTTTTTGAACGTCTTGCATGCATCGCCCAGGATATAAGATTGTAAATTGAAACGCAGTAAACGTTACAGTGTAAATCACTTGGCAATGTCCAGGGGCGGCGGAACAGGGGGGGCTAGGGGGGCTAAAGCCCCCCAGAAGTAAAAGTGGGGGGGCTTACCCCCCCAGAAAATTTGAATTTTTTGAAAAAAATTTGATAATTACGGAAAAATTTAGGTTATTTTTTGAAAATTTAGGTATGAGGGGACAAATTTGCAATATTTTGTTTAAAAAAAGTCTATTTCGGAAAAAAGTTTTAGATATAAGTCCGAAAAAAATTTTTTCGTCCCTTTTTTTGTATATTGTACCCCTAAAATGGTACACTGACCGAAATTTTTTTGGCGACGGGGGGAGGGGGGGGAGGTCAACGAAAAAATTTAGCCCCCCCAGAATGAAATCTGTTCCGCCGCCGCTGGCAATGTCATGCGAAATATGACTACATACAGTATTTGAGCACGCGTATCTTAAGAAACTTGAATATATCTCAAACATATCAGGTTTTCAAGGTTTGAACTACTATGTTGCTGTTTTCTGCTAGAAAGAGCTAATAAACCCTATTTAAATAAGGCTTATAACACTTCATGTCATATAATGTCACTGTGAATGATGGCCTCGTCAGGTAGCCGCTCCTATGACGCGTGCATGTAATGTATATTTAACCGAATCTCATACATTTGCTAGCCAGAATACATATTTCTGTACATAACTGAAAACGGTAGAAAAGTCTTTCAGGGCTTAAAATATCGTTTACGGGGCCGTCTGACAAAATGTCCGAGGACTGTGAGTTTGGGTCGGACATGTGTATGATGATGTCCGCTGACCTTCAGTTCAGTTTGGCTCCGAAATGAATGAATTAATGTCAGCACAATGTATTAATTCTGAACGGTAAATGTTGTGAAAATATTAAATAATCTGCTTCACCATTTCGCTCGCTGCCCCGCCCTCGATTGCATTAAAACAGCATTTAACATAGTCGAGCCTCTAGTCCTGGACTAGGGTACACTTTGATTTACGTTGGACATGCAAAGCTACCGGTCGGACACCAATACACTCGTGTCGGACATACAATAAACCTCAGTTTCATTATTTGTGGTCGGACAGAATGTCCGGTGGTTTCCTCACTACGTCGGACAATTTCACGAATGGGTCGGACAATGTCCGTGACGGCCGACCGATATTTTAAGGCCTGGTCTTTAGAAAAAGGCACATTAATTACACATTAATATCAATTTGTAGGTACGCCGTGAATATGCACAGACTTCAACAAGATGCATATAAGATTTTCCGAGCTGGCGTTCAAGCAGTATCTCCGTGCAAGTTAATACCAAATGCTTTAAAGGTTTCACGTGATAAACTCCTAATACAGGACATAGAATACCATCTCAATCAGAATGTTCACGTGGTTGCATTTGGTAAAGCAGTTCTTGGTATGGTTCAAGCTGTTGAGGATATTCTAGGTTCTCATATTGTCCAAGGTGTCGCTAGCGTGCCCTGTGGTACACATGTGGTGGCGACATGTGAGGTTTGTACGATTTTTATAAATTAAATATTGGTTGTCGACTGCTTGTTATATATATACAGGATCTGAATGCTTGAAGCAAACTGACATTTGTCCGTAACTATCTTCACACTACACCGGAGGGAAATAATGCCTGCAGAATTTACGTTCGTTCACACTACTCCGAACACCCATTCGCAGGCTAAAACCCCTGAGATACTTGTGGAGGAGGCTATCCGTTACAGTTTGTTTAGAAATTATATTGGCACTCATGTAGACCCAAAATATTTCAGATATAAATATTTCAAAGCATTTGAATTTACTGTTTTTGAGACCTGAGATGATTGGTTTGCAAGCGGTACAAAAAAGTAACGGCGTTTGTGCTCACATGCACCAGGACGCTTATATAATATATAAGTGCCCTGCATGCACGAAGGCGACAAGCATTCCGCACTCATCTCGCTCTGTTTGGAAACCGTGCTCAAATTGTTACGGGAAAAGTGACGTTTTCAAAGAATTTCGCTTCGGCGTAGACGTAGTGTGATTTTTCTGCGCCGTTTTGAAAACGCTCCAGCGTAGTGTGAACGTAGTCTCAATTCCTTTTATTTAAACATAGCAAAACTTACATTAATTTATTTTATGATTATTCAAACCCCCAAAGGCCATATCTTAAAAAATAACGAACATTGGCCAAGGGCAAGGACCCTATTAAGACTCTTAGACTTAACTGCATGTTGATAAAGTAATACAGAAACCG